CTACGACATCCTAATATCTACAATTTGTCTGTAGGAGGTGGGTAATAAAAAAATAATTTAAATAAATGAAACCTCAATGAATATTTACAATTTTATATACAAAAAATTAAACAAAACAATGTTAGTAATAAAAAAAAACACAATCCTTAAATCATAGCATAAATATTACTTAACTGGACGATATGATTGCGGGACGTGGTAATTAACAGCAATCATTCGACCAAACATTCATTCAATCACATACTCATCCAGACACAAAAACAAATACGAAATACACACTCGAAAAACAAAAAGCGCCCCGCATCTACCAGAGAACTGACATCTCTGTCACCTAACGGGAGGAAAGTTCATCAGAACAATTACCTTGAAAGTATGTATAGAAAGTGCACACGGAAGCTAAACTACGGTGGTGGTAAAGTGATAGAAGCCGAGATGCTCGGTCAGGACCAATAATATTGCAGATTCTTCTTTGTTTCTTCTCAAAAATCTCTAAATATATAACAGGAGCACCAGACCAGCAATATTATAAATTATATTCTTATAATCCAAAATATGTCTCGACTTTATATAACCAACAAAGGGTTAATAAGCCATAAACAAACAATCGGTTTCAGATTGACGTCACGAATATATTTCTGTGGTATTTTATCAACAGTGGCACAAAAGAACCCCGTCTCCATTTTGTTGGGTGTCATACTGGCACGTATTATTTTGCTCGGATCTTCTCTAGCGGATTTGACGGAATATGGAATATGGATAAGAAGTATCTGACAACACTCGGATAATTTTATGTTTTGATTTTATCGATTTTTCGCTAACACGCTTCTTCGGACACATCTCAAGACGAAAGCATTCTCGTTGTTACAAATTCTACGACCGCAAAGAGGATAGGTTTATTTTCTTCATTTTTTTTTCTTTCTTGTCTCTTGTCACGGGAATTACAGTTTATATGTTCTGATGCGTTTTCAAGTTATAATTTTGCACTTTCTTTTTAATATATTCTGTTTCTGGTTTACCGTAGTTTTTATCTGCATAGTCGTGGATGTCAAACTGCAGCAAATGTCTACGCATTATTAATGTTGATTGTTAAAACATTCTTTTGCAAGCCTGGTTGTCTGTCACGCCAAGTACTATGCGGTTGCGTAATAAAGACATTCACAGAAATTGCACTATTTGGCAAGATTGTCTCGTGTAATGATATATGAATCAATAGTTTGATTTTTGCTGTCTTTTATTAAGAACATAGCATTCATGGGTCTCGCTAGCCTATCTGATGAAATGTTGGTCAAATCTGGCTCTCACTAAATTAAGATCGTTTTTCTTTTCTTTCTGTAATTAATTCGTCTGGGTTGATCGCATGGAGAAATAATGCCGTTTGATATTCAAGATTTTGGTCACGATACTATAATATTCTCACATTTGTTTCCACTCTGTCCATCCTTCCGAAGGATTTGTTTTAGTGTCCATCTTGCTTGTTATCTCAGACATTTTCTTAGCCTTTTTCACACAAGTAGAGACAGTTTTTAGCAGTAGTAGTGCTAATGGTAGCGCAGTGGTCTATTTTAATATCGACTGTTGCAGAAACACTCCAATTATCTTTTCCTTTTAGCGACATAAATTCTTGTGTTCAGAGTCGTAAGATGTGATTCACTTCCTCACTGACGCCATGTTACTTTAGCTCGTTTAAAAACCACACGTAGGGAGAATACATTAAACAGAATCGTAACATTAGTACAGATCTGAGAAAGAAATTGGGTAGCCATACACCATGACTAATTATTTACTAGATCTGGTTTAATCTTGCACAAGACTTACTCAACTTAGGCATTCAGTGAGGATTAATTTACCACACAATAGTATTGACTTGCTAGACTGGCTTGTTAAACATTACTCTTCAATGAAACAATCTCTTCAGTGTATTATGTTACGGAAAAATATATACGCTCGTTATTAAACTCGGGAGAATCTGAAAAAAATCACTTTTAATATTTTTGACATTTAAAATGTATAGAAACAATTTTGTGGAATAAATGTCTTCGTGGAAATTTTTATAGAAAAAGTTTAAAAATTAGCCAATCATTTGTATTATATTTAAATCATTTGGACATGAACAATTCCGACCGTCTTATGGCTAATGATAACTTTTTTGTTTGTTTGTTGTTGATTTTTGCTTGTTTTCACTTACATATTTTTTTCTTAAAAAAAAAAAAACATAGTGCGGCCCCAATTTGTCCTATTGAGGTAAAAAGAAAAATTATATTTTTCAACTTTCATCTCGATCCACTTCGTATTTTTACTGTCTATAAAGTCTGGTCACCTTGGGCACTTACACGTGGTGTAATGGTTAGTAAGCGGATTCAGTGAATAGTGAGTTCGATCCTCACTGGATACTCCATACTTTCGGGTTTGTGCAGCATCTAAGCTATGCTTAGAAATTTAGTATAAAGTCTGGACGCAAGCATGCATCCAGGTACCAGGTTCGTACTCCGGTTACAGCTTCTTCGAGTCAAACGCTTGTGACTTAAGAATAAAACTTTGGCCAGATCGTTACCCACGAAATAAAACCATGAGCCGATTGTAGCAGTAAGCACATTTTATTTGGTTGTCACCTTCAGCTGTAGACAAGCGAGACCGAGATAAAGCAACGTGTGTGTGGGGGGGGGGGGGATCGTGTCTTTCCTTTCGCCTCGCGACGAAGTGGCCACTTGGCCGCTCTCTCCGTGTCTCCCTGCTTTCGGCTGGTAGTGACCATTGTCTTACAGTGGCCATTGTTGGATATATTTGTCTAAAAAGGTCAATTATCAAGACCTGGCTTCATTCAGTGACCCTTCTATGTCAGGGTCGTTTGCTATGGTCCTTGTGAGGTTCACTTCACTTAGCTGATAATCATTAAGACTATAAATATCTGAAACATATTTCAGTAATATCTTTCCATTTAACAAGATATCGATTGATACTGATATCGCTACATTACGCGAACCTTTATATACAACTCACAATCTTCTTTATTTATGAAATAATTTTAAAAGAATATTAACAATTTTAAAATAATTTCTGGGATGAAGAGTTATTATTTGCATTTGGACTAATATCCACATCTTTGTTGTTATTCACAAAGTTTCGGTCGTTATTTCCTTCGGACTTCTTCAGGGTAACCTTCAAGGAATTTCGAATTGAACCCTTTATTTTATTGACGGAATAGAGTGTTCCCATTCCGCTGCTCCTATCTAGAGATCACTCGCTTGTTCTTATTTAATACTGCTCAGTAACTGTTCGTGTTGTTTCTAATAAGCACTTCAAGGATTGAACACACAATCACTATGTCACTACTAAATTATTGATGCGGATATTAGTCCGAACGTAGATAATTTTAAAATACTTTATCCTCACATTTAAGAACATTTTAAATAAATATTTTTAATGAGCAATAAATAATTTAGATTTGAAAAAAATATTTTCCTGCGTTAAAATTAATCATTCCTTCTTTCTGATAAAACTGAACTCAAGATTTACAAAGTTTTACATTAAATCTAAAATAATTACAAATTTTTCATCTTCATCAGTGGGAAACAAGCAAGTGTTACTGTCTAGTGCTTCTTTTTAAAATTTCCATGATGAAATAAGTTTTAAATTACAAGTAAAGAAATCAAATTAATATTTAACCAACAAAACTTTTTTAGAATTACTGCTGAAGTTGAACAGTTTCCGAAATTTAATAACTTCAAATCTTTAATAATTTCGGAAATTAGTTTCAGGAATTGGTTGTTGAATGCTGATAATCCCACCGGTTAATAAGCAACATATTTCTTAATCATTTTCTTTCTTTCTTTCTTTTTTTCTTTCTTTCTTTCTTTCCTTCTAAATTTCTTTCTTTCTTTCATTTTTCTTTCATCCTTTCTTTCTTTCTTTCCTTCTTTCTTTCTACTTTCCTTCCTTTCTTCCTTCCTAACTTCCTTCGTTTCCTTCTTTCTTTCTTTCTTTCTTTCTTTCTTTCTAACTTCCTTTCTTTCTTTCTTTATTTCTTTCTTCCTTTCTTTCTTCCTTTCTTCCTTTCTTTCTTCCTTGCTTCCTAACTTCCTTTCTTTCTTTCTTTCTTTCTTTCTTTCTTCCATCCTTTCTTCCTTCCTAACTTCTTTCATTACCTTCATGTCCTTGTTTCTTTCTTTCTTCCTTTCTTTCTTTCTTCCTTCCTTTCTTTCTTTATTTCTTCCTTCCTTCCTTCCCTCCTTCCTTCCTTTCTTTCTTTCTTTTCTTTCTTCCATCCTTCCTTTCTTCCTTCTTTCTTTTTTGTTTGTTTCTTTCTTTCTTTCTTCCTATCTTTGTTTCTTCCTTCCTTTCTTTCTTTATTTCTTCCTTCCTTCCTTCCCTCCTTCCTTCCTTTCTTTCTTTCTTTTCTTTCTTCCATCCTTCCTTTCTTCCTTCTTTCTTTCCCTCCTTCCGATCTTTCTTTCTTTCTTCCTTCCTATCTTTCTTTCTTTATTTCTTCCTTTCTTTTTTCTTTCTTCCTTCCTTCCTTCCCTCGTTCCTTCCTTTCTTTCATTCTGTCTTTCTTTTTTTTGTTTCTTCCTTCCTTCCCTCCCTCCTTCCTATCTTTCTTTCTTTCTTTCTTTTTTGTTTGTTTCTTCCTTTCTTCCTTCATTCCTTCCTTCCTTCCTTCCTTTCTTTCTTTCTTTCTTTCTTTCTAACTTCCTTTCTTTCTTCCTTTCTTCCTTGCTTCCTAACTTCCTTCATTTCATCCTTTCTTTCTTCCTTCCTTTCTTTCTTTCTTTGCTTCTTTCTTTCTTTGTTTCTTTCTTTCTTCCTTCCTAACTTTCTTTCTTTCTTTTTTGTTTGTTTGTTCCTTTCTTTCTTTTTTTCTTTCTTTCTTTCTACCTTCCTATCTTTTTTCTTTCTTTCTTTCTTTCTTTCTTTCTTCCGTTCTTTCTTTCTTACTTACTTTTTTCTTTCTTTCTTTCTCCCTTCCTTCCTTCCTTTCTTTCTTTCTTTTTTTATTTGTTTGTTTGTTTCTTTCTTTCTTTCTAACTTCCTTCCTATATTTCTTTCTTTCTTTCTTTCTTTCTTTTTGCGTTTCTTTCTTTCTTTATTTCGTCATTTCCTTCTTTATTTCTTTCTTGCTTTCCTTCGTCATTTCCTTCTTTCTTCCTTTCTTTCTTTCTTCCTTTCATTCTTTCTTTCTTCCTTCCTTCCTGACTTGCTTCCTTTCTTTCTTTCTTTTTTGGTTGTTTCTTTCTTTGTTTCTTTCTATCTTTCTTTCTCTCTTTCTTTCTTTCTTTCTCTCTTTCTTTCTTTCTTTCTCTCTTTCTTTCTTTCTTTCTTTCTCTCTTTCTTCCTTCCTTCCTTCCTTCCTTTCTTTCTTTCTTTATTCCTTCCTTCCTTCCTTTCTTTCATTCTTTTTTCATTCTTTTGTCTCTTCCTTCCTTCCTTCCCTCCTTCCTTCCTTCCTTCCTATCTTTCTTTCTTTCTTTTGTTTCTTTCTTTCTTTATTCCTTTCTTCCTTCTTTTCCTTTCTTTCTTTCTTTTTTGTTTCTTTCATCCTTCCTTCCTTCTGTCCTTCCTTTCTTTCTTCCTTTCTTCCTTGCTTCCTAACTTCCTTCATTTCATTCTTTCTTTCTTTCTTCCTTCCTTTCTTTCTTTCTCTCTTTCTTCCTAACTTTTTTCTTTCTTTTTTGTTTCTTTCTTTCTTTCTTCTTTCCTTTCTTTCTTTCTTCCTTCCTTTCTTTCTTTCTTCCTTCCTTCATTCCTTGCCTCCTTCCTTCCTTCCTTCCTTCCTTCCTTCCTTTCTTTCTTTCTTTTTTCTTTCTTTCTTCCTTCCTTTCTTTCTTTCTTCCTTCCTTTCTTTCTTTCTTCCTTCCTTCATTCCTTGCCTCCTTCTTTCCTTCCTTCCTTTCTTCCTTCCTTCCTTTCTTTCTTTCTTTTTTCTTTCTTTCTTCCTTTCTTTCTCCCTTCATTCCTTCCTTTCTTTCTTTTTTCTTTCTTTCTTCCTTTCTTTCTCCCTTCCTTCCTTCCTTCCTTCCTTTCTTTCTTTCATTCTTTCTTTCTTTCTTTCTGTCTTCCTTCCTATCTTTCTTTCTTTATTTATTTATTTCTTTCTATCTTTCTTCCTTTCTTCCTTCCTGACTCCCTTTTTTTTCTTTCTTTCTTTCTTTCTTTTTTGTTTGTTTGTTTATTTATTTATTTCTTTTTGGTTTGTTTGTTTCTTTCTTTCTTTCTTCCTTTCTATCTTTCTTTCTTTCTCTCTTTCTTCCTTCCTTCCTTCCTTCCTTTCTTTCTTTCTTTCTTTCTCTCTTACTTTCTTTCTTCCTTCCTTCCTTCCCTCCTTCCTTCCTTGCCTCCTTCATTTCTTTCTTTCTTTCTTTCTTTTGTTCCTTCCTTCCTATCTTTCTTTCTTTCTTTCTTCCTTCCCTCTTTCTTTCTTTCTTCCTTTCTTTCTTTCTTTCTTTCTTCCTTCCTATCTTTCTTTCTTTCTTTTCTTCTTTTTTGTTTGTTTGTTTCTTTTTTGTTTGTTTCTTTCTTTTTTCTTTCTTACTTCCTTCCTTCCTTCCTTACTATCTTACTTTCTTTCTTCCTACCTTCCTTCCTTCCTTCTTTCCTTTCTTCCTTCCTTCCCTCGTTCCTTCCTTCCTTCCTTCCTTTCTTTCTTTCTTTCTTCCCTCGTTCCTTCCTTCCTTCCTTCCTTTCTTTCTTTCTTCCTTCCTTCCCTCGTTCCTTCCTTCCTTTCTTCCTTGCTTCCTAAATTCCTTCATTTCATTCTTTCTTCCTTCCTTTCTTTTTTTCTTTGTTTCTTTCTTTCTCCCTTCCTAACTTCCTTTCTTTCTTTTTTTGTTTGTTTGTTTCTTTCTTTTTTTTTTCTTTCTTTTTTCTTTCTTTCTTTCTTTCTTTCTTTCTACCTTCCTATCTTTCTTTCTTTCTTCCTTTTTTCCTTCCTTCCGTTCTTTCTTTCTTTCTTTCTTTTTTTCTTTCTTTTTTTGTTTGTTTTTTTGTTTCTTTCTAACTTCCTTCCTATGTTTCTTTCTTTCTTTCTTTCTTTCTTTCTTCCTTCCTTCCTGACTTCCTTTTTTTCTTTCTTTCTTTTTTGTTTGTTTGTTTCTTTCTTTCTTTTTTGTTTTTTTTCTTTCTTTCTTTCTTTCCTTCTTCCTTCCTATCTTTCTTTCTTTCTCTCTTTCTTTCTTCCTTCCTTCCTTCCTTCCTTCCTTTCTCCCTTTCTTTCTTCCTTCCTTCCTTCCCTCTTTCCTTCTTCCTTTCTTTCTTTCTTTGTTTTCTTTCTTTCTTCCTTCCTTCCTATCTTTCTTTTTTTCTTCCTTTCTTTCTTTCTTTTTCCTTCCTCCTTCTTTTCTTTTCCTTCCTTCCTTCCTCCTTTCTTTTCCTTCTTTCTTCCTTCCTTCCTTCCTTCCTATCTTTCTTTCTTTCTTTCTTTTTTTTTTTTTTTTCTTTTCTTCCTTCCTTCCTTCCTTCCTTCCTGCCATCCTTCCCTTTCTTTTCTTTCTTTCTTTCTTAGTACAGATAGTTTTCAAAATGCAAACTCTTCCCAATATTTAAAGGCATTGAATATTTTCTGTTAATTCACCTCAAAATAAAAAGATTTTATATTTACTCAAATTCACTCCAAATTCTCCTATGCCCTTCCATTTCACTCCGGTTGGGTTGACATTTGCGATCGCCCCAAGTGTGGCCGACTCGAGTAAGCTATTTCTAAGTGTGGGATCAACGTTTGTGCTCACCCCAATAGGCATGCCAAAAATAGAATTTTCTTTAAATTGTAAAATATTTCCTTTTAAGTACCTCGAATATCATCGGCACTTATGAAATGTGAATAACCCTCTGATTTTTGGTAATTTTTCATTCTGAGGTTTGGAGTTTTTGCAAAATAAGCTAAACAAATTTTGATTTAAAATTTATGATTTCGGAAGAGTGACAAAATTTAATTAAAAAAATAAATAAACTTTGATTTAAAATTTATAATTCCTTGGGGTGAATTAATATTTGCAAAGAGTAACTTTACATTATTTGGAGTGAATTTACAGAAAAGTTCTAACAATATTATTCGAATAGAATTATTTCTCAAAAAATATCTTCAGTACAGGTTCAAACAAGAGGGTTCGTCAACCAAAGGATCACATTAAACCTAAAGGTTACCGCTATCAGCGATTCCAACACTGGGCACTTGGGCTAAAACAATTAAAGTTACTTGGTAGTATAAATATCTAATATTGTGACCAGTGACAAGACTTGATTCAAGGGGCCTGAAGATGAGGGAGAATATAATTATGGAGTGGGTTGGACGTGCACGTCAAGTAGGATCAACACGAACCAAGTTCACATTCCAACCGAGAGTGTTGCGTTCGCTTTCGCACACAGACCGGGTATTCAAAAGCAGTTGGTCGTAGGGTTGACAACTCCTCTCCGTAAAACCTACTTGCTACAACAGAAGCAAGAAGAGTGATGCGGATGTAGCCCTATGCCCTAAATTACGAATTTACTGGGTTAATATAATATAAATAAAATATGTTTTCTCGTTTCTAGGGAAACCACAAGAATGGTGAAGCTCCGGTTCTATCTTCCAAACGAGAAGTTTACATAGTTAATATACAACATGCATACATTTTTTTAAAAGTTGAACTTATATTGCTTCAACAGGAATTCAATCTTGATTCCCCAATTTCGTTCCAATAAAAGTTAAACTACCTTGCAATCCCAAAAGATTGATTGATTGCCCCCAAATATTTTAAATACTGCTCCTTATACAATTTTTTATAAATAAAATGTATAATATTAATGAAAAATGGAGACACTGCTCCATATTCTATCAGCCCTGTACCCACAGAATTTCTCTCTGATTTCAACAGATATTTTAAAGTTCAGTCTCCAAGAAAAGATCAATCTTTTTTTTTTCTCGGAAGAGATTTTAGAATTTTCAGAATTTGACGTTTAAGCCATGAAAATACTGGTCATTTTATGTATTGGAAACCTGCAAAAATTTATTCTGAAGCCGTTTTTATCAACTAATTTCGTAGACAATAATTAGTGATGAGGTTGCTTAGAAAAGTGAAAAGAAATATCTTGATCATCTTTATTCACCAATGCTCCATTAGGCATTAGTATATCCACGATATACTAACAGCATAAACAATTGAAAGGACTTCACGTGCCGCATCTTTTAACATTTTCTCGCCACTTTGGGCGAACAGACGTCATCAGATTCTTCTTTATTCAATATCCTATGGGCCTTCGGGGTGTGGACGGTCATATCCTCAAAAACTTGCCCTCAATATGCCGTGAGAGTTAAGTTTTCTGGCACCTCCTTCCTCATTATGTGTTCAAGGGATTTTAGTCTTTTCCTGATTATGAGCATAAGCCTTCTTTTTGTTGCTGTATTCTTTGAAAATACCTCGTTGCTTACTCGTTCCGTCCATAGAATACTCAGTATCCTTCTGTAGAACCACATTTATTTTGCCTGCTTTTTTCACCTCATCCGTGCGGAGATTGTCCAGCATTCACTGCCATATAAGAGGATGGATCTCACGCAGCAATCCAGCACTATTTTATTTGTTTCTAACGAAACTTTTCTGCCTCTCAACACTTAGCTTTTGGAATGCCTCGTTCGCTAGTCCAATTCGGTGTCGCATTTTCCATCCCCTGTTAAAATTCTTTAAATATCTGGAATTTAAACTTCTGTACCAGCTTGATGTTGACATTTCCAATTTGTAACTGGCATCCTTCGCATTTGACCATACTTTCTGTCTTCTTAAAGTTGATGGTCAGTTCTTTTTACTCTCTTTCTTTTATTACTACACTGTCTTAGGGAGTCATGTAGTTTTCTTGTTTTTCTTTTCTTTTTTTTTTGTCAGCCATCAACACTGCTTCATCTGCGTATTACTTAAGATTACTTCCACCGATAATAAATATTGGTAGGTTCTCCTGTTTCCTTAGGAAAGCTTCGCTGTAGAGGTTGAATAAATTTGGGGAGAAGACACGTTCAATTTCTGTGTAGTCACTCAAATAAATTAATTTCAAAAACGAATTGTGCCTGAATTTTTTTTATATTCAAAGCTAGAATATACAAATATGTCTTACGAAATGTACATAAACATATATGTGTGTGTGTGTGTGTGTGTGTGTGTGTGTGTGTGTGTGTGTGTGTGAGCGTTTTGGTTAGCAAAGTCCGAATTACTGTTTATAAACACACATCTTCGACGATATTTCTCGATCGATCATATCTGCACACGAAACGTATATTAACGCAAACAATGACAAAATATTATGAAATGGATTAAGTCCGATCACAATTTAATATATTTTCTGTTTATACGTTAATTTTATACGTTATAATTTTCTACGAAATTTTTCGAATATTCAGGCCAATAAATGTAATTAATGCTCTTTAAATAAAAACAGAGCATTTACTTAAATACACCACATCCCATAATGGTTACAGGTTCGATTCCTGTCAGAAGAATGCATATTTTCAAAGAAATTTCTCGAACATTCTGGCCGGTAAATATAATTAATACTGTTTAATTAAACAACAGAGTATTTACTTAGATAATTGTATCTATAAAAGTAACGTAAAAATAGAAAAAATATTAAATAATTATCGGACTTAATCCATTTCATAATATGTTGTCATTGTTTACGTTAAGATACATTTCGTGAGCAGATATGATCGATCGAGAAAAATCGTCGAAGGTGTGTGCTTGTAAATAGTAATACGGATTTTGCTAACCAAGATGTTTCTCTGTGGCTGAATGATAACGACACGCCAGGCTATAAATGACGTTTCTCATATATATATATATATATATATATATATATATATATATATATATATATATATATATACGACCCTCTAAAAGTCTAAGATAACGTAACATTTAAAAAAATTCTGTAGAAAGGAAATGACTTCCCTACAAAGAAATTATTGTACATATGAAAAAAATCCGGCTACATGTGAAAGGACGAATATAAAGGACGTACTTGTAATGTTTCTGAGGAGAACCCATGACATTTGATCGTTCGCCTAACCACTGCTGGTTTGTCACATGTGTTCTGTGGGGTCTAAATCATAACAGACTATCGCCAACTGGGCTATTGTTACGTGATCCCCAAAGGCTTTGTGGACATTTCTCTTAAAAGGGAGATAATCACCTTCTTAAACCCTACATTAGTATAGGTTTGATTTTCGCTGAATGACACCAGACTGAAGTCCTGGGAAAGGTTTCGTAATATCTACAGAGAGGTGACTGCCGTAGGACAACAATCGATATATACCTTTTGCCATTACCTCATTACGACTACTTCCAGGGATGCCGTTATACCCGAAGCTTTACTTTATGCCCATATAACATTACCTGGGAAAGACGCCAATAATTAGATGACGATATCTTTTAACATTTTTATCAATTGCTGGATCCGCTGCCACGTTTGTTCATTTGGACTTACAAGACAATTTTTCTCACCGGGATCAATCTTACACTTTTATAAGTCTACCATTCATTCATGCATTGAATATTGCCGACACATCTGGACATTATAGAATATTGCCGTCACATCTGGACATTATAGAATATTGCCGTCACATCTAGACATTATATAGATCTCTAACTACATAGCCGAAGCTATATAGTTAGAGACCTTTGATAAAATCTAAAGAAGAATCTGCAATCGATCCTGATCTGGCACCTCGGCTTTACTCATTTTCTCACCGCTGTAACGTACCTTCCCTGTGCATTTTTTTTTCTCTAGTAATTGTTCTTTCTTTTTAAGTCGAATTCCCCCCAAGCAAGGCAGTAAAGCCACAAATCCCGGGGGTTACAGGACGTGAAAGAATTAGGAGTGAGAACAATAGAAGATCTTGAGGACAAGAGATAACGATTAACATTGCATTTAAATTTTCGAAGATCAAAGTTGACTGGAAGGGAGTTCCACAAGCGAGAAGTGCGAGAAAACTGTTAGCCTAGAATTTACAGTTACATCTCGCCAGCTCAACTGTAAACTGATGAGATCTCGACGCCAGTCTAGTACTGCGCTTAAATTTTTAAAAAAGTCTAGCTACCATAGCGAAGAGATCATCCGAACAATTACCGTCAAAGTATTTTAGGAAAGGCAAGTGACTGGATCCGAGTCGCCAGATCAGAACCAATAATATTGCTGATACTTCTTTGGATTTTAACAAGGAGCTTAAGGCAAATAGCCGAGACACCGGACTTTATGTGGCAGCAATATTCTGAGTATGGACGTGTGGTAGACTTATAGATATGTAAGATAGATGCCGGAGAGAAAAAAAATTATCTAGCACTACACAGTGAATCAACTTTTTTATAAGTAGACCTAGCAATGGATTCAATATAGTCTTTCTGATAAGCTTTCCTCTTTGGTACGTAGACATTAAGAATTTAAACGCAGAAATTTTAATTTTGCTCCATACGGAGTAATTCCCCGTGTATTTAACGACCCTCTACGACGCTGATGAGCGTGCTCTTTGGGTAGATAATTGTCCGTATCTTTTTGTTGTTAATTATTGTAGCCTTTATTAATAAATGTCTTTAATGCTTTTTTTTCCAAA